CTCTCAGAGCTGCTCTAACATCCAGCAGACCTCAAACTCTCTTCCTTCAGTCCTTAACCCAGCAGAGATGCAAGACTGCAAGTGATGGAGCCAACAAGTTTGAGCATCTGCCCACAACATCGGGCTGGAAGGGGCTGAATGCCTCCTGTCTGAAGGAGCTCAGAGCTTCCACCTCGCAGTGGTGCCTGCAGAATGAGCTGTGGGTGGTTGGGTGGGTGGTGTAAGGAGAACCCCCCTCTTGGTTCATCTCAGTTGGGTGTGTGTTTACAGAGAGAACGCACGGGCTTCCCATCCTCTGCAATTAGTATCTCACTATCGCATATGACAACAGGCACATGCCAAGGCTGGGATGGGGACATCAATCTCCCTCTGCACAAGGTGTCTTAACCACTGAAGCTGAGTCCTGCTCCTCTCAGTCCTGCTTTTCCTTGCTCACTGAGCTAATGAGCATCTCAAGATGTGGCCACCAAAGGACCATTGCTCCAGCATGGACAGCAAAACACATCTTTGCTCTTACGCCAGGGTCCTTCGAGGAGGACAAATAATGGTATGACAGCTCAACCAACCTCTGCCCCAGCACAGGACTTCTCCTTCCACCCAACCTTTCTCATTTCCGCAAGCAGGAGCTGAATCCACCCTCAGATTTCCATCACCTTTCAGATCTGGTTGACATTGTCGCAACGTTCAGGAGTTACTTGTTGTGCAGTTGACAGCCAGGTGGACGTGTGAGCATTGGAGCCTCTTGGCTCTCGGAAACCAGATTGTTTAAACAAAACAAAGAGGATGTTCAGGTTCGTCACCGGCAGTAATCTGACAGCTTAGGACGCTGGTCCAGCCAGCATGATGAAAAGGGAATGTCCCAGGCTTTCCCACTGAAGCTGATGACAGGGACCTTGGCTGGTAAACGTGACAAAGCAGTGACTTCCCCATTAATCACAAGAGCTACCTGAGCCTCTCAAGTGTTTCAGTTTGTGTTTCAGTTCATCTTTAAGACACCCAGAAGCTTGCGTCCAGGGAGTGTCCAGGGACGTCCCTCTGGCTCTGCTGTGCCCATGTGCAAAGGCTGGGCAGGGATGTTCTCCTGTCATAGCCTGGTGACACAGGGGATAGATGTCTCCAGCCACGTGCTGAGGGCTCAGGTCCAAGCCTGGCCTTGCTGTCATCCCCAGCACAACACTTCTTATTGCTGATTGCTCACAGGCTGCCTGTGTGTTTCTTTTTCTAAAGCCTGGCCCAAAAAGCCAGCTCAGAGCCCATGTGAGTCCATACTGACATACACACAAATGGCACAGGAGAAGCTCCATCCATCACATCCTGCTGTGAACATGTCTCCCAGTTGGCTGTCCCACCACGCATTCATTCACCTCGCTCAAACTGTCACCGATGTATCCACCTTGACATCTTGTCTCCCACCACGTGCCCAGTAAACCAGGATGTGTTTTTAAACACGTGTAGACAACACAAAGAAAATGCTGGTTCCATCTTAATTCATCTTAACCCTGCTCTTCACCACTTTGCCTCCAGAAGTCCTTGCAGACCAGGACATGCATATATATACGTAAACCCAAGTTACCATTTGCAGACTAAGTTAAGCTTCAGTGGGGCAACTTTACACCAGTAAACAGTCAGAGCAAAGCACAACCAGCACAAAGCAAATACTTTTCCAAGGACTTACTCTGGGTTGTCTGGAGCTGCCAAACCACAACCACCACATTGTCCTGAGGGCTATAAGGACAGAGGCATCCATTCACCTGATGGGCTTGCAAACAACCTGCGAGAGCCCATAGATGCCTTGGGGACAATGGAGAGCAGATCAGATGCTGACCATATCCTAAGTGAGACTGGGATCATGGCTGTGCACTAGGATCCCAGTGGAAACCTATTAGCAAATGGTTTCCCATGTGGAAAACCATGATCTCAAGATGGCAGAGTTTTACCTCCTTCTCTTGCAGTACATCAATCATTATCTTTTATCAGCAGTTGACACTTGGAGCATATTTAGCAGCAAAAGTTACATCATTTGGCCCATCTTTGTTGCATTCCTGAACTACCACTCAGCAACATCAGGGGGAAAAAAAGACCCAGCCATGCTCTGATTTACTGTATTGCAGTATATCATTAGAAGATTTAGCACTGATTATGCTGGTGGTCCAAAGCAAGGGTACAGTTAACTAGAACAGGCTGATTTCAGACATCCCGAATTCCCAAAGAAATCCTTTTATGAGTAAGAGAGAAGGGAGACTGGGAAATCAGGACTTCAGACTGTCTCAACCAGCTAATGTCTGAGCCTCTTAAGTGAATGAGATTTCTGTAAGGTGATTTCCAAGGAGGGAAGAGTGGAAACCACTGCTAAAGCCACACAGAGCATGATGATACGTGAGGTCCCAGGGTCACCACTGCTCTGTTGGATGCCCACGCAGGTGGAGGGTGCAGCGGGCATGGAGCAAGAAGGACATCACATTGTTGGTCAGGATTGACCTGGAGGCTGGACATCAGTGTTTCCACTTGGGAAGGAGCCGGCTCTGGCTTCACCCACAGCTCCTCCATCCAAGGGCAGGTCAGGGCTGTGGGTTCTGCTCCTTAATCCAGGCATTACTGGATCATCCAAATTTGACCAGATCAAGAGCAGCCACATAACTGCATTTCTCCCAAATTACTTCCAGCACTCGGGGTTTGTGCAAGCACATGTGTTAAAGCCTGGGACTCGTGTGACCTGAGCGTGGTACAACCAGACCGAGCCTTGGTGTGGACAGTGCAACTCCATCAGACCAGGTTTATAGCAGGTCAGCACTTCGCTTTATGCAGCTGCAGCTTTGCTGAGCCTAAAGATGGATTTACAGCACAGGCAAACCCCAGCCAAGGGGAAATGCTTCCTCCCTTTAAACTCAAACCTCTATTTTAAGCTTCAGACTACTTCCATCTACCGTGCATCTACCAGCCCTAGAGCTGAACAAGCTCTGGGTGAATGGGGACACAGATGAGCTGGTGCTCAGCGTCCTTCTGTTGCGTTCCTCTTTCTTTTCTTGCACTGAATGAGGGCTAAGATTAGCTCAGCAGGAGGTGAAGACTGGAACATTTTAACTAAAGCTGTTGTAGTATGTAACAGCCATAGTTTTTGCTGATTATTTCCCAGCTTTCTCACTGAGAACAGCGTTGCATGGTCTTTTATTTTGACAGATGAATGTAAGTAAAGATCCCATAAAATAAAGTGTTCCGTGAGGTGTTTGAGCTCATTTTCCAGACAACCACTGTAACATTTGATCTGGAAAGCCATGTTCAGCCAAAGGTCCAGCCAGTGCATGATGTCTGCATCCATGGCCGTGACGACTCACATAGGACAAGGTGTAGAATGGGGGCTTTGGAAGATGCTCCAGACCCAGCAGACCCTCTCTGCATCTTGCAGGTGATAGAACAGCCCACCAACACCGTGCCCATAATGGGGACACCTCCACAGCCAGCCTCTGGCCTTTGCTGGATCACTTCTCTTCTTTGCATTATCACGCAATCCCAGGCTGGTTTGTGTTGGAAGGGAGCTTAAAGCCCCTCCAGCTCCAACCCCTGCCACAGGCAGGGACCCCTTCCACCGGAGCAGCTTGCTCCAAGCCCCTGTGTCCAACCTGGCCTTGAACACTGCCAGGGATGGGGCAGCCACAGCTTCTCTGGGCACCCTGTGCCAGTGCCTCAGCACCCTCATAGGGAAGAGCTTCTGCCTAAGAGCTCATCTCAGTCTCCCCTCGGGCAGGTTAAAGCCATTCCCCTTGGCCTTTAATGAACCTTTGATGGTTCATTGACTGAGTGGGTGTTAAGGACAAGGGTGGGAATGCTGTTCTTTGTGTTTCTGATACAAGCCATCACTGCCAGCCTGGCTGCTGAACCTCGAAGGGATGATGTGATTATTGGGTATTTCAAGTCTTGCTGGTGCAGAATGGAAATGAGCTAAATTGTAGTGTAGGCGGTACTGACCCCAACATCTGCCCTTTCAATTGTCCCTTAGTGTGTACCAAGCAAGACAGTGGGTGCATCCATCACGCTCTCAGCCTTCATTGCTGAATCCCACCTGAAGGATGAGAGGCAGGATACTGGAAATTCCCATGCAAACCTTGTACTTGATCAAAAGCCATTTTGAAGCTGGTTCATGGGCCTAAGTGACATGAACCCAAATGAAAGCACAGGACACTCAGAACAAACCAAATACTGTACCCCAATGAATCCCCTGGGTTGGGCATGTCTCTGGTGAACAGAAAGGCACAGTACTGAGTGAACCTGGTCCAGACGGGCACAAAGCCTGACCTACTGCTATGGCCATCAACCACATGAAGGACAGCAGAGGCTGGTCACATTGCCAGGGAGCTTACAAACCCATCTGGACCTTTGACTTCCCCAAACCCTGCAGAGCCCGGGACTCTGGTGGTTTCCACTCAAAGTCCCTCCCCACAAGAGGCAAGAACCAGCTCCCCCGATTTTCCTCCTTGCCTGGTGACACCCATGCCCAGCACAGAAGTTTGGCTTCCTGTGGTATTTCAGGGACTGGGACAGTGTCAGATGGGAGCTGGGTCCTTAGCACGGGGGCCCTTTTAAGTTCAAATTATGAAAACCAGGGACAATAACAGAAAATCCCAGCGAGTTCTGGACAGCGAGACAGGCACCCCCAGCCAGCCCCTCCAGACCTGGGCTGATGGGTGCCACCAGCGAGCACAGAGCCACGTGCACTGAACCAGCCCAGCAGAGCCCAGAGCTCTGGACTGACCCAATCTAGGTACTGCCCACAGCAGAGTGGTCCCACACAGGCCTGGGGTGGGTGCCCCCACCACAGACCCCATGCAGAACTCGGAATCATAGCATCATGGAATGGTTTGTGGTGGAAGGGACCTCAGAGCTTATCCAGCTCCAACACCCAACCACAGCTTCTCTGTGCGCCTCAGCACCCTCGCAGGGAAGAGCTTCTGCCTTAGAGCTCATCTCAGTCTGTCACTAAAGAATCCACTCGGCACAGCAAGGGATGAAGTGTACATCTTTATTTCTTAATGGAACATAAACTCCTTTAGAAAAAAACATTCATCTGGATGACAACACCCATAGAAAAGATCACCAATCTATCTCGTGTTCTTTTTTTTTTTTTAATTTGGCATGTTATTTGCATTTATATTAAAGCAAAGTGCATCTTTCTTACTTTTTCTCGTTTATACACATTGCACAATACATAAATAACGATGCTTATAAAACGTCTTTATATTTACAGGTAATAATATATTTATATAACATAAAATACAATTTTTTTTTTTCTTTAATAAATCTCAGGGGGTTTTTAAGGAGTCTTTTTTTTTTTTTTTAACCTGTGTTTTAATTTCAAAGCACTGTAATGCCAAAATGCCAATGAGAATGCTCTTTTATTCATTTAAACCTTTTTATTTAGAAAAATAGCTTATGTTATGGTCTAAACATGCTCATTGAGCCAAGAACAGTGTAAAAGTATCATACTCGTGTATGAATTCAAGAAATGAAAGCACAACTTTATTTCCAGATTGGATGGTACCGGGATAACCTGATCTAGGCTGGTTACAACACACCAACTATTGTGGACACCTTTTCTTGTTTTTCTTTCTCATTTGTTTTTCATTTGTTTTGTTGGTTCAGGAGTTGTTTATTTTAGGTTTAAACTTCGGTCTCTTCACATCTCAGTTCAAATTATAAAGCATGGGTCATGCACAAAGTTTCTCCGCTCTCGTCTTCTCCCCTTTCATCAATGCATGACCACAAGTTAAAAAAACAAAGCAGTGGAAAGATGAACACAGTGACAAGACGTGAACCCAGCTACAATACAATAAAAAATCAAAAGATTGGGTAAAGACCTGGTTTTGGAAGGTTTTGCACCATCCTTCGGTGGCAACATCAGGTTAGCACCACTGGGGAAGGGGTCTCTGAATCACCATCACCAGGGCTGGCGGCGGCAAGGGGAAGGTGGTGCATAAAAAGTACAGGTATCTTGTTGTTTTATCCAAGAGAAGGAGCTGTAACATATAGGAAGTGGCTTCCAAATCTGTTGATCACATAGGTAACCCTTTCAGAGGCGTGAAATAATTACCGTATGCAATCTATCCCCAAGAACCCTTCTCTCGCCCTTCTGAGTATTGGTCATTCACACTTTTAAAAAATAGATATATTTATCAAAATACCCAAGGCAAAAAAAAAAAACCAAAAAAAAAAAACAACAAAAGAAAAAAAAAAAAAAAACAAAAAAAAAACAACCAAAAAAAAAAAGAAGTCTTTTCAGAAGCTATTTCTCAACACGGGCAGGAAGGGTAACAAACAAAACGAAACACAAAGAGTTCGCATGAAAAGCAAGCACTCAGAAGGAAACGATAGCAGCAAAGTAGAATAGATGTCATAAGCCCACTTTGTCTCGAGTCACCGGTTATTAAAGATAACCTCCAACCAGCATGGGCAACTGCTGATGAACTGTCTAGTGTAGCACTGGCCCCAGCCTTTCACAAAGCTGATCTGAACGGTAAATCCAGTCCATGGCTGCTGCGTGAACTCGTGGTCATTGGGTCTCTGCAAGGTGTACGCCTTCTCGTAGTCAAAAGCCTTTATGGAAAATCCTGGGAACACTTTGTGAACCAGCAACGTCCTGGAGTCAGGGTTGTCCAGTGTGGCCGACTTGATGAAGATGGGGTAACTGCTGCGGTTGTATACCCACACGCCGTCCACTTCCTTGGTGAGCTGGATGCCATAGCCGATCTTGCTGCGGACCTTCTGAACCAGCTGGCTTTTGTTGTCAGAGTTGAGCTGTCCGAGGCAGAAACCATTCCCCTGAGGTAGATCATAGAAGATATCCAGGGAGGGCTCTTGGACAGAGTACAGCCGACCCACACGTGTCTTCTCTTCCCAGTATGCTACCACGCACCAGTGTGAACGATCCCCCGGCTCCTGAAGTACTTGAGAATCTGCAGAACAGGAGAAAGAAGGGAAGGAAAGGAGAAATTAAGCACCAGGGGTATAATATCACCCAAAAGCAATACAACACTGGCAGGTCTTTGCCTGCCCGTGTCTTCGTGATATTCTCCATGCACATACTAACGCCCGTAGCACACCCACCATTTCCAAAAGCCTTGCGTTAAGACCACTTAACATGACCCATGTTTGGAGGATTCCTGTGCCTAGCTATGGTTGGAGCTACAGGTTCCAAATCACCAAGTCCACCTTCGGAAGTGGCTTGAGACCCACAGTGGAGCCATCCCTCACCCAAAGCATCCCCAGGACCACTTTCAGTGCCAACAGGGAGACGAGATACTCCAGCAGCTGCATCCATCAAAACCAACATCCTAAACCCCCCAATTCTCTTTCATCCACCAGACAATGGATCCACTTCCATAAATAGCTACTGTGCACAGACACCAAAACAAATGAGGTGCTGCTATGAAAAGCACACTGAAAGTCACCCCATGGGTCCAGGGGTGACAAGGATTTGCCTGCGCTAGTCCATGGGGCTCCTCTTTGCCCATAGGCAGAGCCTGGGTGATGGAGGAGATGGAGACATCAGTTGATACCCCAAGCCACAGGAAGCACCATCAGATGGTGGCATGGTGGGGACCAGGAATACTGCTCTTAATAAAAATAGCTAAAAAACATGCACAAAAACCCAGAAATACGTTCCTGTAGCCCTTCTTTCAACTCCTTTGCCTGTAGCTACCCCATGCAAGCAGCAAGGGTATGACATAGGAGGAAAAAGCAAGGAGGGGGGAGCTGAGAAACACAAAAAAGCCCCTTTTCCTAACAGAGGATCCCTAGCAGCCCGGCGCTGCGCAGTGGGTAATTCCTTCCAGCCTCAGTAGGCATGTCAAGACCTGGGAACTATTCATCTCTATAACTGCATTAAAAAAAAAAAAAAATATATATATATATATTAAAAGGAAAAAAAAAAAATCAAGCTGGGAATGCGAGTTAGTGAGCACCAAAACAATCCCCAGGACCACGGGAGCAGCTATGGGACACCAGGTCACCCAGCACCCAAAATCTCTCCCTGCATCACTTGAACAGCTCCCCCAAACCCCTCCAGCATGAGCAATGGCAGTGGAATGCTGGCTGTGCCCTGCTTTCTATAGTTTTTTGCTATTAATAAGCCCGTTTCCCCAGCGCAGGCGTCTCTTTTCTCCCGCCTCCGAGTTGTGCTTCAAGCCCTGCACTGTGCTTTTAAAAAAGGGAATAAAAAAAAAAAAAAACAAAAACCCAGCCACACACTTTTAATTTCCTCATTTCTATGCCAGCGAGGAAAATATTTCTGCAGTTGCTGGAGGCAGTGACTAAAAATGGGCCTGGCTCTGAAAGCCCCAAAAGAGGGACCCTCGCTCCTGGGTGGAACTGGGGATGGGGGTTCTGGCAGGGGGCATTCCCTGGGACAACATCCATGCCCTGGTTTGTCCTTCCAACTCCATGCCCCCCCCCCCCTTTTTGGTGCCTCCCAAGACTTTGTTGTGGATAACAACAAATCCTGCTGAAACCTGGCACTGCGCAAGGGACCGAGGGAGGGAATGGCTCGGGTTCCCTCTACCCTAACCCAAATGGGGTGCCCCCCACCCAAGGGTGCACCCAGCAGGGCAAGAAGTACCCCCTGGATGGTGTTTCTCCACCCACCCAGAGACAGAGGAATTTGGGAAAGGGGGGAGATGCTCCTGGATCCATCCCCATTTCAACAACCCCCTCTGCTGCATCCATCCCATTGATTGCCAGTGACAGTCAGAGCTTCTTGGGCTTCGTCGTGCAGCAGTTGAGGGGATTCTGGATCAACTTGCCACTGACCCCCGCTGAAATTCCTACGGGATTCTACCAATCTGAACATAAGAGCATCCCTTCAGGATGGGGGAGACAGACTTTTTCACCTGACATTTGTGCCTGCGTTAGTGAAGACCACTTAACAAGCAGCTCATTGCTGCTTACAAAGAGTTATTTAATTGCCAGCACATTAAAAAAAAAAAAAAAACAACAAACCTAAAAAAGGAAAACTGCCTTGGCTATGAATGAACAGACCTTTATGGAGGGCTGGAAGATCATGAATGAATCCCACTAGGCTTTTCAATGACATGGGGTGACCAGACCTCAAGGACAAGTCTTAGGTAATCTGGGATATATTTTTTCCTTAAGGAACCAATGCCAGGACACAGTATAAATATGCCAGAGCCTCTTCCGCTTGCGGGCTTCGGCTGTTGACTGGATGTCTAGTCAAAAAGCCATGAGAATATAAGGGCTGAGCTCGGATAAACAGGATCAGGCCTCCCTGCTAGCCACCACCAAAGCTGCTTTTCATGGTTGCTGGGACCCCAGCAGAGCCTCCCCGCTCCCACCTGCCTCCCTAATTCTGGCATCCATGGGGAAAAGGGGTGGGAAAAGCTGATGGCATCACTTGGGCAGCAGAGGAAGGACAAAGCTGCAGGGGAAGAGGGAAAAATGATGACACTGATGCTTCCTACAGTGATGGGCATTTCTTCCCCCAAAAGGCTTTTTTTGGTGGCGATGACCATGGACCTGGGCAAATGAAGCAAACAGATGGGATTCTGCCCTAAAACACCCCACTGGGCTCATATGGTGCAACCTGGGGTCATGGCAGGGACTCATCATCCAACTCCCATCTCTGCTGGGATTTGCAGCAGCAAATACACCCAAAACCCCAGATCCCTGGAAACTGGCAGCCACATCACCCTCAACTCATCCTCATGTGTGACAGCCCAGAGAAGGCTGAAAAACGCTTTGGGATTCTTGTTTTCAGTTAAAAGCATCATTTTTATGAGCTCCTCAGAGCAAACACATCCCTTTCTAAATGCCTGGAAAACTCCCAGTGAACTGGGAGCGTTCCCATATTCCAGCAAACAATGATAATGTTTAGTGCTATAAACATCCGCGCTATTATTTCTTTATTAAGCATCCCTCCATTTGCTATCACTGGTTTATTAGTATTTTCCATGGTTTGCATTACAGCCCGCCCAGGGGCTCCACCATGCTCCCCCCAGTGTATTGTGCAAGCTTATTGTGAAAAAAAGTATGCAATAAATAAACAAATAATAAAGCGAGTCTGCCCTCAGGAATGCAGAGAATTAGTTGTATTGATCACTCATAGCCAGGTCTAGGGAGAAAAGGATCTAAAGCAGAGCACAGTTCTGCTTGCAGGGGAGAAATCAAGGCATTAACTCGATACCCCAAAGGCTTTGGGTTAACATTTTTAAGGAATCTGGTGCAGATGGTTCATCACCAGGGATAGCCCAGCACAACCACACTGCTCAGTATCACACTCCCACTGGAAAACTGATCTTTTCCCCATATTTTTTACACACTCCTGCATCTTCCTAAACTGCCCCAACTTACTGCCGCATACCTCAGTGAGAAAGGAGTCCTCCCCAAAAGCACCATTCCAGCCACTTCCCAGCACACCAACCAGTATGAGAGGCTGTGATGTTTCCCACCGCCTGCCTTGACCATCACAAACATCAAATCCTGCCCAAAACTCCTCAATAAAAGGCCACAGCCAGGATTTCTCTAGCTTTGAGTGTGCACATGCTGCCCACGGGCTCAGAGCTTCACCCTGCTCTGGGGAGGGAAGCTGAAAAGAATGCTATTTCCATAGGGAAATCCTGGAGGAAAGGACACGGGAGCAGTAATCAAACTAAGCTGAAGCCAAGGTGGTCCAGATGAAGGTGAGTACAGAAGATGTACACCATGCAAACACCCCAGTTTATCAGCAATGGCCCCACAATTGCTTCTCCCAAGCTGCAGCAGGAGGACTCACACCTCCCATCCCTTGGAAATGGCAGAAAAATTCTGGTGTGGCTTTTTCTCCGCAACACATGGACACTTTTAAGATGATGAAACCCTGTAATCTGTACTTTTTCCTTCCAAGTCCTGTCAGTTTTATGAGTAGTTTGGGAAGAAACCATTCTTTTTTCACTCAGGAAGAATCAAAACATTTCAGCAAAACTGATTTTTTTTTTTAAAATAAATAAAAAAATATAATACAAACAAAACCAATGCAGTTCCTGGCCAGCGTTCGGATCTCAGCCCTGTCCGAGTGCCAAGTTCACGAACGTAGAGGGGAGGTGAGCTCGGGATCTTTTGTTTTGCTTTGTTTTGTTTTGTTTTGACATAGCTAAAGGTTTTCCTGTAATCAACCGACCTCTAAAGAAAACAGCAAGTTTAGCACAGACTGAGCTATCTCACCCGCCTGGACTACTCCCATTTGATCAAGTCAAGAGCTATCTAAACTGTCACTGATAGTTCTGCGCTAATAACAACTCCCTCGCTGAAAATGGGAATACAACTGTGTTCCTGATTTTAAATACCTGTAATTGGGGTTTTCCTCAACAGTATCAGGATTAGATGCAAATTAAATTGCCCAACTGTAGAAGAGTTTCAAACTATGTGTTTATACTTTTATATACAGACAGATTTCTTTTTCTAAGAACTGTTTTCATAGAATTATAAAATCATCAAATAGTTTGTGTTGAAGGGAGCCTAAAGCCCATCCAGTTCTAACCCCCCTTCTATGGACAGGGACACCTTCCACTAGAGCAGATTGCTCAAACCATGCTCTGACCCAAAGCATACTCTTCCTAAACTTCTCACCAATCTCACCCCCTCCTCTCCCTCACTCCTCTGTGACCCCTGGGGATGGATCTCCCACCCTGACACAATATTCATGACAGTATCATCCCCCCTGAACTGTGAACAGGAGGCTCCTCAATTTCACAGAATCACAGACTGGTTCGTGTTGGAAGGGACCTTTAAAGCTAATCCAGTTCCAACCATCTGCAGTGAGCATGGACATCTCCAACCAGACCATGCTGCTCAGGTTTGTGGTACCCTCCCCTGGGTCACATGCAGAGGTGACATGGCACTCACGACCAATAACCCAAGACAAATGGGTAAAGGCAGCAGATAAATTGATGTAGACGTCCACCAA